TTGAAGTGCTACTTAAAAACGGAGCGAATGTCAACGATCAAAATAACGATGGAAAAACGGCATTGTTTTGGGCTTCGAAAGAAGGTTATCAAACTGAAATTCACTTTAGTCACACTTCCGAAATATAGAGAGTAATATTGGAATCTCATTTTCACTCAGGTCACTCAAATGTAGTTGAGCTTTTGCTTAAGAATGGCGCAGATATTAATTTGAAAGATAACAACGGATGGTCACCAATAATTGGCGCCGCTCAAGAAGGTGATTTAAAGTTCAATAAGTCTCTCTATAAATTATAAATTACAAACATCTTAAGCTTTGTATCAAAACCATTTCGATAGGTCAAGAGCGAGTTATTGAGCTTCTACTCAAAAACGGATCAAATGTGAACGATCAAAATAACGATGGAGAAACTGCGTTGTATTTGGCTTCGGAAAGAGGTAGTTCAATTGAAATTCACTTTAGTCACACTTACGAAATATAGAGAGTAATATTGGAATCACATTTTCACTTAGGTCACTCAAATGTAGTTGAGTTATTGATTAAGAATGGAGCAGATATTAATTTGAAAGATAACAACGGATGGTCACCAATTTACGCAGCTTCTGTAAATGGTAAATGATCATATTTAATTACTTGAAATGCTTTTTTCCTCAAATAATGTAATGGAAAGGAGCTATTTCACATGTATTAACAAAGGAACATGAACATTTTATCAATTCAAGGACACGAACGTAATGTTGAAATACTGGTCACAAATGGAACCCTTGTAAATATCAAGAATAAGGACGGATATTCACCAATACATGGTGCTGCAGATAACGGTGATTTAAAATTCAATAAATTTCTCCAGAAAATAAAAATTATAAAACATTTCTTGAATTTTGTAACAAATCCATTTCCATAGGTAATGAGCAAATTGTTGAAATGCTACTTAAAAACGGAGCAAATATCAACGATCAAGATAACAATGGAAAAACGCCATTGTTTTGGGCTTCGGATAAAGGTAATGCAATTGAAATTCACTTTTGCCATTCTTTCGAATTATAGAGGATAATATTGGAATCTCATTTTCACTCAGGTCACTCAAATGTGGTTGAGCTATTGATTAAAAATGGCGCAGATATCAATTTGAAGGATAACAACGGATATTCACCAATAATTAGCACCGCTCAAGAAGGTGATTTAATGTTCAATAAGTTTCTCTATAAATTATAAATTACAAAACATTTCTTGTATTTTGTAATAAAACCATTTCCATAGGTCATGAGCGAATTGTTGAAGTGCTACTTAAAAACGGAGCAAATGTCAACGATCAAAATAACGATGGAGAAACTGCGTTGTATTTGGGTTCGGATAAAGGTAATGCAATTGAAATTAACTTTAGTCACTCTTTCGAATTATAGAGAGTAATATTGGAATCACATTTTCACTCAGGCCACTCAAATGTAGTTGAGCTTTTGCTTAAGAATGGCGCAGATATTAATTTGAAAGATAACAACGGATGGTCACCAATTTACGCAGCTTCTGTAAATGGTGAATGATCATATTTAATTACTTAAAATGCTTTTTTCCTCAAATATCGTAATGGAAAGGAGCGTATTTGAAATACGGTATTTCATATCGAAATGTATTAACAAAAGAACATGAACATTTTATCAATTCAAGGACATGAACGTGTTGTTGAATTACTGATCACAAATGGTACCCTTGTAAATATCAAGAACAAGGTCGGATATTCACCAATACATGGTGCTGCAGATAACGGTGATTTAAAGTTCAATAAATATCTCCAGAAAATCAGGGCTGTAATTTTCACTCTGTCAGTGCACGCACACATTTGACATTTGACATTTCACAAGTTTGACATTTTTGGCGGTTGGCAAATTTGTAACTAAGTGTGCGTGCACATTCAAAATACAAGCACTGTGTGCGACGCACATTGAGTGTGAGTGTGCACACTACTGTGTGCGTGCACTGACAGAGTGAAAATAACAGTCCTGCAGAAAATATAAATTATAAAACATTTCTTAAGCTTTGTATCAAAACCATTTCCATAGGTCATGACGGAGTTGTTGAAGTGCTACTTAAAAACGGAGCAAATGTCAACGATCAAAATAACTATGGAGAAACTGCCTTGTATTGGGCATCGAATAAAGGTAATGCAACTCGTTTAAAGCCAATATGACTTCAGTAATGCGCATTAGAACAATTCAAGCTTCGTGTATACTCGGCATATCGTCGCTGCTTTACGGAATATAAGCCCGGCTGATTCAGCCGTTGAGTTTCCTGCGAACTGTCGTGCATTTAATGCTCTAATGCATGTGTTTGCTCACAGCCAAATAAAGTCAAAGAAAGTTGGCACAAAAGAGAATGAAATATTTACATATGGCTACTTGATGTTTTTGACCATGTCGCAGTGAATTCTACTGCTGATATTCGCCTAAGCAGCGAAGATGTGCCCAGTGAACACGAAGCGTGAATTCTTCTAATACGGGTAGTAAAAGTCGTATTGGCTTTAAACGAGAATTGAAATTCACTTTAGTCACTCTTTCGGAATTATAGAGAATAACATTTGAATCTCATTTGAATCTCATTTTCACTCAGGTCACTCAAATGTAGTTGAGCTATTGCTTAAGAATGGCGCAGATATTGATTTAAAAGATAGCAACGGATGGTCACCAATCTATACAGCTTCTTTAAATGGTAAATAATGGAATAGGGCGTATTTCATATCGAAATGTATTAACAAAAGAACATGAACATTTTATCAATTCAAGGACATGAACATGTTGTTGAAATACTGATCAGAAATGGTGCCCTTGTAAATATCAAGAATAAGGACGGATATTCACCAATACATGGTGCTGCAGATAACGGTGATTTAAACTTCAATAAATTTCTCCAGAAAATATAAATTATAAAACATCTCTTAAGCTTTGTATCAAAACCATTTCGATAGGCCATGAGCGAGTTATTGAAGTGCTACTTAAAAAGGGAGCAAATGTCAACGATCAAAATAACGATGGAGAAACTGCCTTGTATTGGGCTTCGGATAAAGGTAATGCAATTGAATTTCACTTTTGTCACTCTTTCAAATTATAGAGAATAATATTCGATTCTCATTTTCACTCAGGCCACTCAAATGTAGTTGAGCTTTTGCTTAAGAATGGCGCAGATATTAATTTGAAAGATAACAACGGATGGTCACCAATACATGGTGCCGCAGATAACGGTGATTTAAACCTCAATAAACGTTTCTATAAAATATAAATTACAAAACATTCCTTGAAATTTGTATTAAAACCCTTTCCATAGGTCATGAGCGAATTGTTGAAGTGCTACTTAAAAACGGGGCAAATGTGAACGATAAAAATAACGAAGGAGCAACTGTGCTTGACCTTGCTACTAGTAAAGGTACTATTGGATGAACCTATATTAGTCGTATTTTGATGAATTAACACTAACAAGTCAAACTCATTTCTATTCACTCAGGAAATTGGAAAATCATTGACCTCCTTAATGCCGTTCGTCGAATGCGGCCATCAGAAAATGGT